GTTCATTAAAATCTTCTCTGGGCAATCAACCGCGTTAACTGGTTACCGTAGTAAACCGACGTTTCGGGAACCAACTCTGTCCCAATCATCAGGGTTCTGATGTGACTGGATACCTCGGAAGTCGCCTGTGTTACACAGTCACATCAGAGCCCTGATCATGGGGGAGAGAGTTAGTTCCCGAAACGTCGGTTTACTACAGTAACCAGTTGACGCGGCTGATTGCCCGAGATTTTATTCATTGTACTCGCCGCGAAAGTCTCAAATCCTATATGAATCGTGTTGTTATGCACTGCCTTACAAGGAAGATATTAATAGCTGTCTACCATCAAAACAAATTGGTTATATGTAACAACCTAAAGGATAACAACGTATATATTCGTGCAGCTAAGTTCTCATGACTGTAGCACGTTCGTATCCCCCGGCACTTGCCTAGATGGACAGGGAAACCAAAGATACGGGTCGGAATCCAGACTGGACTCGAACCGTGTACATCCGGAATGCAATCAGCTAAACTACTACTCAGTTGACACGACTGAAAAGAATCGTTAGACCTTTAAATTCCAGTAGCTCTTAATTTGTGTTTCGTATGATTCTCAGTGTAAACAGCGATTATTTCATTAACCAGCATTAGCCATCTGGTCTTCGTAATGGTAAGGCGTGGTGTTTTCTTTTCGGTACGGACTGAATCCTTAAATATTATTCAGACGATCGTCGGCTTCAAAGGGTTAATATCCCCATTTTAATGCTACGTTTATAAGGCGAGGGTTTATATAATACTGTTAGGAGTTATGGAGAGCAGGTATTTTCCTTAGTCACTTTAGAAAGAAAAGGGAATGAGCTACCTGAGGTCAGCTGTCGTCGTGTAAACCATACAGAGATTGATCCCGTGACCACAATAAACTCTTGAATAGTGGTGCTGTACGAAGTTCAACACAGATGAACTTTTATCCACTCTGGCGAGAGCAGAAATGGTGGACTGGATGTGATCTTCCACCCACGACTCCCTGACAAGGCACGAATACACCGTGAAATCCAGGGCTTTACCCAAATTGATCTCCGTCTTCTCCTCTTCAAGAGAATTAAGATTACTGCAGCTCCTGTAACACGTTGTTCGTCTGCCATTCCGAACACACTGACCTATGGCGGCTCTCAGTTCATTATCATCTCCACGTAGAGTTCCGTTTTGTCTCTTTATACGTACTGTCAGTGCCTCAGGGTGAAATGTAGAGAAAATTTTCGCTCTGTTGGGAGAACCTCTCACTCAGAGGAAGGAACACAGATTGCAGGTGATTGAGGAGGATATTTGGGCCTAAGGGGGAAGACGATGGGGCGTGGAGAAAACTGCATAAAGATGAACCTTCTCCAGAATTGTCAGGGTGATTAAGTCGAGAAGAATGAGATGGGCTGGGCATGTAGCGCGCATGGATGGGACAAGAGGTGTGCGCCGGGTATTGGTTGGGAAGCCTGAGGGGAAGAGACCGCTGGGGAGACCTAGACGTAGATGGGAGGATAATCTCAGGCGGGATCTATGGGAGACAGGAGTTGAAGGAGACTGGATTTTGTTAGCCCAGGACAGGGTCCGGTGGAGGGCTTTAGTTAATTCGGTGATGAACCTTCGGGTTCCGTAAGCCATCTGGTTGGTTGGGTCCACTATTTGGGAAGCCTGAGAGGAAGAGACCGCTGGGGAGACCTAGACGTAGATGGGAGGATAATCTCAGGCGGGATCTATGGGAGACAGGAGTTGAAGGAGACTGGATTTTGTTAGCCCAGGACAGGGTCCGGTGGAGGGCTTTAGTTAATTCGGTGATGAACCTTCGGGTTCGGTAAGCCATCTAGTTAGTTAGTTAGTTAGTTCTGTTGGAAGAACCTCTCAGGCCTCCGATATCTCTTTCCATTCACCTGACTTGAGACCGTCTGCAACTCTCGTCGTGTAAACGTAGCATGAGGACTGAAAGAGAGTGATGCCTCTGAGAGGAACGCGGACACTTTGTCAGTTTCCGGCATGTGGAATGCGTCGAGCGGACAACGATACATCGTCCCATTAATTCTGGCAACTTTCGCGAGTATTAGACATACAGATAGGCTTTTTAAATGTCACGTACAGCGAAATGCGGACAGAACTCGATGCGGTGTGGTTCATTAATCCACTGAGTTTCAGGAGCAGTGCTGGCAGAAAGTGAAAATAACTTCCTGTAAATGTCTACATCGCGCAACCTTCCTTGTAACGAGCTGTCCAGCTTCTTACATCCGTGTCTGGAAAGACGTTAATTTCATTGCTTGAGAAATTTAAGGAACTTGGATTTTACGTTCTTACAGCGACGTGTAAAAAAGATGGCTGTCTTCTGGGTTGTTACACAGTGTAGTCTGGCAGAAGTTTACCGACGTTTCAAAGGTACTTACTGCCTCCATCATCAGGGCGATGAATGTGAGAATGTGGAATAAACTCCATAATGAAGGACTGCGTGATTTGTGTCATTAAGGAAACCCAAAGTGTACCGACCAATTGTGAGGTATAGACACAGGTGCGACGATAATATTGAAATGGATACTAAACAAATGGAGTGTGTAAATCGGATAAGTTTCTGTGGCTGACGGGAACACGAAAATAATTATTCGGGTTCAATAAAACAGGAGAATTTCTGGGTTGGTTGAGCAACTGCCAGCTTTTAAAGAAGATCTCTGCATCACGAAGTTAGTTCATTTGGTTATGTTAGTTGTCGGTTGGGTTTAGTTTCTGAAACAGGCCCAAGCCACGACGTCTTTCCAGAGCTCCGTTGTCCTTATTACCCCCCACGTGGCCTCAATATCTCTTGTATCTCCCATATGACTTGTATCTCAGCATCCATCATTTAAGGCTTTGACCGGGATGTTCTTTTGTTAAATCTTATGTGGTACCGCCTGATTCGACTTCTAATGGTTAAGTGAAGTGTTTTCTTCGCGGTACGGTCTAGATTCGTAAATATTATGAAGACGAGATTCGGCTTCAAAGGGTTAATCATCTTATAATATTATACGCGGAGACTACAAATGATGAAGCTTCTCTTTATGAGATTTTCTCCATTTTCTATTTTCGTCGACGCATTAATTACCCTCGTCCTTCGTTCTTTCCTCAGAGTGAGGTTAAACATTCATAGAAATATAACTATTACATTATATCGCTTAACGTACATTATTTTAATATGTAGTTTTTAAGACAGAACACGAAAACATAAGAGATTCCATCTTTATAGTTTTCTCTCACGTCTTATTCGATGTTAAACAATGTCTGAGCAACAGATTATTCCCATTTCATATTACGTTTTTTTTTCCTATTAAGTTCATACATCGTCTTTAAATAGCAGAGATTTGAACATAGGTTTGGCACGTACAAGTTGATACAGCGTCTTTAAATTGTGTTTCTAAGTAATCTTTATGTTTTCAAATTGAATAAACCACCGTCTTCTATAACATGAGGTCAGCGTTCAGTCACCATCTTATCGCTAATTCATGACGAAAACGTTGCAACACCAAAGCCCAGACGAGAGAAGACAGCTCATAACTAGCAGCGTAGCGAAGTTGGAAAGCTGTACTGGTGGTGGGGGATCCTTCCGTGACCTGAAGCAGGCAATTTGGAAACTGGACTCCCCAGGCCTTCGGAATAGCCTACCCACTGATGTTTTAATTATAAACTGTTGAGAACCACGTGAGTAAGGCATGCAAGTTGTCAACAGTACCGCTGAATATCACAGTTCTGTCGAAAAATGTTATTTGTAACATATGTAGGCCTATGTTAATACATCGTTAACATATAAAAATCCGAGCATTGTTCTCAAAATATCTGTGAATTTGTACAGCTCTAAAAAATAATCTAAATCAGTCCAAAGATTACTCTTTCAACATGAAGTTTACAAAAGGGTTTGAAATCATTTGTATCAACTTGAAGTTTGTTTATTTGAAGTTGGCTGTCTTCTGGGTTGTTGCGCTGTGTAGTCTGGTCGACGTTAACCAACGTTTCAGAGGTCATCCTGCCTCCATCATCAGGGCGATGAATATGAAGATTTCTGTCTTCTGGGTTGTTGCGCTGTGTAGTCTGGTCGACGTTAACCAACGTTTCAGAGGTCATCCTGCCTCCATCATCAGGGCGATGAATATGAAGATTTCTGTCTTCTGGGTTGTTGCGCTGTGTAGTCTGGTCGACGTTAACCAACGTTTCAGAGGTCATCCTGCCTCCATCATCAGGGCGATGAATATGAAGATTTCTGTCTTCTGGGTTGTTGCGCTGTGTAGTCTGGTCGACGTTAACCAACGTTTCAGAGGTCATCCTGCCTCCATCATCAGGGCGATGAATATGAAGATTTCTGTCTTCTGGGTTGTTGCGCTGTGTAGTCTGGTCGACGTTAACCAACGTTTCAGAGGTCATCCTGCCTCCATCATCAGGGCGATGAATATGAAGATTTCTGTCTTCTGGGTTGTTGCGCCGTGTAGTCTGGTAAAAGGTTACCGACGTTTCAGAGGTCATACTGCCTCCATCATCAAGGCGATCGCCCTGATGATGGAAGGAACCGTGAAAACCTCAAATCCTTGAACATCTTATAGTTGATACATCGTTGGTAAACAAACGCAGGAATTTATCATCCCGAAGACGATACTCATAACATTTGCGACATGATACAAGGTTGTTAAATAACGTAAATAAATCCTCAGACGATCATCTAAACATGTCAGTTATAGAATCGATCTATGAATTCATAGATCAGTCTGTATCAATGTAACAAGATTCTGGTTACACCTGTAATGGACGACGGGCTCACCTGCCTTTGGCAGGTTTTGTACAACCCTGGCACGGAGTTGCTTGCCAAATAACGTTCACCAGGGATATTTTTATACCACCAAGGGGAAGACAGCGAGAGAGAGAGAGAGAGAGAGAACACGCACAGCGCGTTAACTAACAAACTAACAAACAGTAAGACCGCCCTCCGCCTCCCTATTTCTACCATTCTTGTTTTTCCGGTCAGAATTCGTACAGACGGAAAGACCGAGCGAGCACTGGTCAGCCCCCTCGAGGGCTCGCGTCCGACAGTGAGACTTCAGTTCGGTGGCGGTTTAGCGGATTTCTGTCGTAACTTAGACGTGGATCGTCGAATATCGAAAGTTCCGTTTAGAATTCGCCGATGTTGTGCGTCTATGTTGTTTTGAAAGTGATGTTTACGTTGTGTTCAATATTTCATAGAAATTTGTGCTGAACTTCACTGCGTGGCATGGCAAGCTATTTCACTGAACGCTTCGTGCTTAGAAGAGTTTAAGATTACGTCTGAAGTCTTTTAACGCATTGCGTACTGTAAAACAGTAATAACTGTTCGAACTTTCCTCGATTTTATAAACACGTTTAAATTTAATGAAAATAAAAGTTGAAGAAATGTTTTGTGTGCAGAAGAATTCGCTGAATTTATAAATTTGAAGCTGAATTCTGAAACAGTTCATACTTGATACCACGTGCTGAAGAATGCAGGGAGTGACATAGAATTATCGTCAATTCCGGAGTGTGTTTCGTGCCTTGTAATTTTAGCGTCGATGTGTTCCGAAGGTTTATTTGAAGAAACATTCCATAGCTTAAGAAACATTTAAATTACGCGCACAGTGTCTCATGTTGAAGGTCTTTTCATTCTGTGTCTAGTTACAGCATCTAAAACTTTTAAACGTTGCGTGATTTACAGACAGAAACAATTTTAGACTTATTACATTTGTGGAAGACGCTGTTTAAAGTTTTAATTTAAAAAATTTGAACTAGATGTGAAGGGAATACTGAGAGGGGAGGAGGGTTCTGAAACCGCGAGTTTTGGTTGCCAAGAAAAGACCGCTCGTATTCAAGCACCTGCCAGGAATTTAGAACGATGACAATTTTCAGTATCAAAATAAGCTAGAGAAACTTTTTACGTTTAAATTTTTATAGTACAAATCAACGGTATTATAACACATATTTATGTCTGAGGAAAGTTTTGTAAATTCATCGTATGATTTATTTTTAAATATAACTTCAATAAAATGAAGATAGGAGCTCCAGCGTAGAATAACATTGTGCTTAAAACAGACGACGGCTTGAAGAACTCAGGGAGTGCTGCCAAATAACGAGGAGGCATCCATCGTTAACCGGAGTTGTGAAATTCTGATAAGTAGTGCAGGTTTATGTAACCGCACGGAAGAATACATATATAAAACAAACATGCACAAATTCAACATTTGGTTTTTAGAGTAAATGTTTCGTGTGCTTGAATCAGTCGTTACTATTTTAAATACTACAAGCTTCAGTCTCTTAAAAAATTTGGTGACGTGTTGTTAGACGCCAGAATGTCAAAATACTTGTTGGGATACGCTAGGCGACTAGTTAATCCAGTGACCACCTCGAGGGGTGTAGCTAAACGCCATAATATAACCAAAATTTTATTTAAATCGCTCAGAATTATTAGCGAAGATTAAACAAACTTTTGAGCTAATTTCGTGATATCATTTTGACACGTTCCTTTTCTTTGAGTGTAAAGAACCTAATTTTTGTAAGATAAATATTTAGTGTGATAAGTGAAAATATCCTGTAGATTAAAAAGTTTGGGCATTTGTGTCCGATACAGTCTGTTAAGGATGGGTATGGAATTATAAAAGATAACTGCGGAAAACAGTGGAAACCAAGATCTAATCGTAAATGTTAACGGGAACTCAAAACCAAGATCTAATCGTAAAATATAGTTGTTTAGTTGACAGAGCCGACAGACTAGACAGGCAATTTTAAATATTTTTGAGAAGTACATGTTTCTTATTTGGTGAATTTTTAAATTACCGAGGTCTATTGTGATTGCCTGTTGAAGAAAAGCGGGCAATGAAAATAATCAGTGAAACCGCTCCATCGTAAACCCTGTGCAGGTCGTCATAGAAGCGATAAAGCTCGCAGATTTAGTGTCTGAGTAAGAATCCACAGTCGACGAACTGAGAATGACCTCGTTGAGGCCCTAAAACAAAGTGACAGTAGATTTATCTGCGGCCCCATGTAGGCCAGTCTAGAGGTGCAACTGTGAAGAAAATATTTTATCTGAATTAAAATATGATTAGGAATTTCGTGAAATTATTATAAGATTTTTGTAAAAAGTTACGGCAAACGGAATTCAGAAATTGAAAGACAAACTAATATTCACCAGACAGTCTATAACATTGATGACAAATTTCGATTTCGTACTTTGCAAGTTACCCTCCCTATTTTCCTTTAACCTAGCCCTTTTATCTAACCCTAAGCCCTTCCCACTACATACCCCGTGATCCCTAACCTCATTAAAAATGGGTGATCGTCGGAACAAGAAAATTAGGGCATACAGAAGTCCAAAGTCACGTGATAAGGAAGACGCTTTGGAGATTTTAGGTGATATTGAATCGGGAAGAGATATGGGAAGGTCGAAACAAGTGGCAAATCTTCCCGGGCCTTCAAGAGACTCGAACTCAAGGGATCAGAAAAGAAAGCGGCCGAACCGAGAACGCTGGTTACTGACTCGAAAAACATGGCGCTATATGGCGGATGCAGGCCGACGTCTCATTCCTGAAGGTGCTCAGAACCGACCTGAAGATGTTCCTAAGATAGAGGCATATTTCCAAGAGGTATGTCACCGTGAACCAAAATTTCTGCTATGGAGGAAAAGTTCCTATCCTGGGGCATTGGGATTCAGGTCTCACCATAGGAAGAACCGAAGAAAGGTCGGTGGTAGCTGCAGAGAGAAAGCTAGTTCTGCTGACGAGGCGGATACATCGCAGACATCGGCATCCAGTAGAAGATTCGACCTGCAGAGATTGAAAAATGATTTCCTGTACGGGCCATCGTCATCTGGCTCTGATGCCCACAGACAGAGACAATATTTTGGTTGCGAAAATCCTCTCCTGGAAGTTCCAGAAACAACTGTAACAAGTCCGGACAACGAAGATGAGGAAACAGAAAGAGAATTGATGGAGACGTTATCCAAGTACCTAAACATACGCGAAAAATCTGTCGATACTCTTTCAACAGGCGATGAAGCCATCGATATCGACTATCAGAGACTGGTAGACCAGCTGAGGAAGTATCTGTCGACCAGCAACATACTTGAAGACCGTTCTGACTCACCGAATACAAAGGAAGACAGAATTAAGGAGCGTATACGGGCCACGGCACAGAGGCCGATCTCCCCATCATCTAGAGTCTCCTTCGAGGCTGACACACAAGAGAGGATGACACTGGACACATTCCGACGCTACTACAGCAAATCCACTTGTCGCCAGAAGATCATCACCGACCTACTAACAGATAGGAAGCTTCTTGAGAATCTCTATTTCGGTCTACGGCAGACCAGAAGTTTCAAGGGAAGAACCGGAGGCATTGTGCGTGGTGGCTCTGGGTTTTTGCCCCTGTGGACGTCAGCCGATCAGACAGCATTTGCACTGAGACGCAGGAGGGATATCGACGAAGTATATAAGGGCGATGGACACGATTATGGAGACAGTGCGGGCACAGTGAGTTGGAAGTGTTTGGGAAAGTCTCTGTCGAAGGATCCGAGAGATATATCACCGTTTTCACCCCCACCTCTGATAGAGATTGAAGACAAGTATGAATCAGTAGCAGTCAATAGGGGAACACAGACGAAACCGATTCCTGCAAGTGTCTTAGTGGCTATAGAGGACGAGCTGAAGAAGGCGCGTGCAATTGCAGCTCAAGAGGGGAAGGAGGACACAAATGAGGGCGGCTCGGGGCGACGGAGAAGCAGTGTTGACAACGACGATGTGTCGCCAAGCGTGAGTGACACCATCAAGCGTTATCTGCGGATGGCACGCAAGAAGAGCTTGGACGCCGATAAAGTGGACCGCTTCAAACGCGTAAATTACGACCGCAACCTCAGGAACATTAAGCCGAAAGGCGAGATCACAATGCCGGGTGACGACGACGGGCTAAACAAGGGATGCCAACCTGACGAGAGCTGGATAACTGCTTTGAAAGAGTTGAAGGGTGAGGATATCTCCTCGGACCCTGAAATGTCTCCTGGAGGAGACGACCTGTCAGGCAGTAGGTTCACAAGTTCTAGGAGTAGTTTGGAGGGGGCTGGAATTTCTGATGACGCCATTATTTTGAAACTTCCAGTGCACATGGTTGGGAAACCTAGTCCTCATCATTCCCATTCCAGTATACTCTCCACCGGCCAAAATTTCCTGTCAAATCTCTTGCACGGCTTACAACACCACCAGCAACAACATCAAGGCAGTGAAGAGATTTCCGGTATGACTCAGTCTTCTGCTTCTACAGCTATTCCAGTCGGAGGAGCCATGCAGAAATCAAAATCTTCGTCCAGCGTGGTGCATCATGGGAGTCGAGTTGCCAAGAAGATCTGGAGGGCGCGGTCCAAGAGCCAGAGCCGTGCGACGTCTTCCGCCACCTCCTCGTGGACGCCGCAGGTAAGTGACTTGCACGCTCTGACGTCTTCAGTACATCCCCGTATTCGTGGGAGTGCTCGGCATTTGGCATGTCCAGTTTAAATTAAAATTACTGCAGAACGAATATTTGTGCCAACTGCGGGGTAAGAACGTCGTATTTAGTCTACTTTCTATTCATAAGTAAATAAATTACCATTCTGTCCGTGTGTGTCTGCCCTTTCAACCGATTCACCGACTTTCATATATTTTGTATCAACATTTTGTCAATGCACACTCAACCCTCCACACACGCAGTTTACAGTTTTTAAAGGAGGTAACATATCCCAAACACACACACACGATACTAATATCGCGATTCTGAAATGATTCATTTGATTGCATCACTTTGTCACGCCGTAAGTATGACAAAGATTTATTAATAAACGTGAGACATTTATGTCAGTAATTGAATATATGAGGCGTTTTATGACATAGGACAATTTAAAACAAGACTCAAAAAAAAATAATGATTACCGGGTATATATAAAATGGTCTTTGGATGTTATTTCTAAATTCCCCTGGACATCGTTACCAGATTTGTCGAAAACGTTAACAATATTAATTAAGCCTTTACGTTCACCGAACCATCTCATCTAACCTAACCTAACCTAACCCAACTCAACCTAACATAACTTAACGATACCTTCTTCTTATTCTTAAGTATTCAATCCTAAGATTGGTTTGCAGGAGTTCTCCATTCCGATCTCCTTTCTGCCTTCCTTTTCATTTGTTTTATGTACTGTACTCGGGATCTTCCACTAAATTTCTTCCCTTCAACATATCCTTCTATAATGGTTTTTAACATCCCTTCGTGTCGTAAGGCGTGGTCAGTCAGTTCATCTCTTTTTTTAGTCAACATTTTCCACAGACTTCCGTTCTCACCTATTCTTCTGCATACTTCAGCATCGATAACTTTATCCACCCATCTTATCTTCAATATTTTTCTATAACACCACATCTGAAAGGAGACCAATCTTTTCTTTTCTTCAGTCCCCATCGTCCAACTTTCACCCCCATACAACGCAATAATCCAGACATACGTTTTTAATAACATCTTCCTAGTCTTAATACTGATATTTTCCGAGGTCAATGGCCTTTTCTTCATATTGAATGCATTTTTTTGCCTGGTTAATTCTGCAGCTTCGCCCATCCTTAGTGATCTTACTCCCCAAATATATATATTCACAGACTTCCTCAATCATCTGATTGTTTACAGATATTCGTGCATCCGCGTCTCCATCCTTGTTGCAAGCCAGAACTTCAGTTTTCCTTTTGTTTATATTCATATTATACTCCTTCCCCATAATCTCTTCTATCTTATTCAGAATATTTGTAATGTCTTGTTCACTCACTGCCAATATTGCAATATCGTCTCTCCTTGTATCTTCACTCCTATAGTGATTTAATCTCTGACTTTATCAAGGGCACTCTGTATATAGACATTAAATGTTATGTAACCTAACCTTACATTACCTAAACTAACCAAACCTAACCTAAACTAACCTAACCTAACCTTACATTACCTAAACTAACCAAACCTAACCTAAACTAACCTAACCTAACCTTACATTACCTAAACTAACCAAACCTAACCTAACCTAACCTAACCTAACCTAACACAACCTAACCTAACCTAAACTAACCTAACCTAACCTTACATTACCTAAACTAACCAAACCTAACCTAAACTAACCAAACCTAAACTAACCTAACCTATCCTTACCTTACCTAAACTAGAGGTGGGCCCGCCAAATCCGGTAGGTTGCGTCCCATAAGGCGTGTCTGCCAATGTAAGACGGTAATCATGGTTATAAAGGCCATCTTCAAACACGCCGCCGTAAGAATTTCAAATCGTGCAAAGTGCAGACCTCTCCACTGGGTCTAGGCATGGTCAATGCCAGACAGAATCGCACGTGTGCCCTGTCAGTGGAGTCATCGCTAATGATAGTTTCATCTGTTGCAATTAAAGTGACCGGAAGCGGTTGGTACATGTGTCTAAGTTTGGTGGCGATCCGTTCCAAACGTGTCATTTACATTTGTACAGTTGGCATGCATGGGAGTGGAAGCCGTGGAGGGTCGAACATTTCTGTGTCTTGTGGCGTGCTCTTATTAATTCCTCCTAGCTTGTTCTGGAAAGTTCTGATCTTCTGCTCATTGCTTGGTATTTTGTTAACGGTTTCTTCCTCCCAGGATAAAGTTTGTTCTACTAATTTGCTTTTAAATGAGGTTATTCTATTTCGAGCACCGTCTACAGCCATCAACTGGTGTTTGTTCCAGCTTTTTATCCAAATATTTGCATTCTTTATCAACCGTTTCCTCTAATAACCAAACATTCTGATAGAAGCTGCTTCTCGTTTCTCTCTTTTTCCGCTGTTTCCGAAATATCCCCCCCGTGGAGGCTTCCATTTCAGCTGCTAACGACGACTTTCCGCGGTCAACTTGTTAAAGTAACCCCTGGCTAGCGTTCTTCTCTTCTCTGATGACGTCTCGAACGCCACCGTTATTATCATCCACCACATTGCCTAACATTACTTCCGTGTTGATTACATTACTCACGGTCTGTGGTACGTTCTGTTTTCACCGCTTAATAATATTTTTATATTTACATCCATCTGAAGATGGCTGTCTTCTGGGTTATAGCGCCGTGTACTCTGGTAGAAGTTTACCGACGTTTCAGAGATCCCTGCTGCGTCCATCATCAGGGCGTAACAGACTCACCGCGGTGATAGCCTCAGATTATACTGTCTTATTGACGTTTATATCTGCATAAATTCCTTCTCTAAATATATTATGTTGGTAGCAATGTCAACGACGCTGTTTCACCCGCAGAGATTGCATACACCGAATGTTGTGGACATTACAATTCCTTCAGACTATTTTATTGCAAAGTGTAGTGCAGCGGCGCTGGGATCGTTGTGTTCACTCCCAGGGGAACTACTTCGAGGGTGATGGATGAATTTAATACCTGAGATAAGTGTACGGGTTTTTATAGGCGCAGTCTTGAAACTTTCTGATCGCACCTCGTACCTCCGCGGTACCGTCGTGATAATGTCGAGGATAGGTCGTCGAACTCTCGTCTGGTTCTCGATGTCGCGGTTGGTTTCGCGGTCTTTGCCGGTGGATTCGCGTGGCGCTGTGCTGTCTCCTGCCGTCCTGGAAGTGCACGCTTCGCGTCGACCATCGTCAGGTCTCGGACGTTTTTGTTGAACGGAACTCGACAGAAGTCGATTACGACCAGGTTGTAGGTGTCATGGCGTGTCTTGTCAGAAAATAATCCACCTTACACAAATACATTGATGGCTACTGATGATAGCGCACAACACATGAGTACACTGGCGTCATTTTCACTAGGAGCATGAACTACCTTGGGAGCGAACTCAGGCCCTCACAGAGAGAATAGTTCCTTTAACTAACTAAAGTGACGCCTCGGGGCTGTTCCTTCAGTGACGTCGCCTTACATTCTTACAAAACAATCAACGTTTACGTTGTCGCCAGATGCCTAGACCGAGTCTGGATTCGAACTGTGACTGCTGGCATCGGAGGCGAGAAGAAATTTTTTTCGAGAAATGCGTCGGAAATTCTAACCTTTATTTTAGAGGCTGTGGAGATGGCGCTCTGTCACTCTGTGGGTAGAGGCGTCTACGCGTATATCACGGTCAGGACCAACGGCGGCGGAGGTCTTGAGGAAGCAGTTAAGAAACTTTGGTTTCCATAGAAACCACAGAATTTCTTGCGTAGCTGAGTGTACTAGTTTGTCAAGAACGACCCCACTTTTTAGAGGTAGGCCGTATTATGTATCTCAGTCTCATGACGATGCTCGCGTAGAAGAGGTTATTCTTAACACAGCCATTTCATAATCATGGCCAACCCGATATTCACTAAACTTAAACCTATGACATTTAGAATAGCAGCACAGAGGAGTCAGCAGTACATCATTTGGAATTGGCTGTTTTAATGGATTTTCTGTGCTTTAAAATTAGAAAGAAATTTGGTGTTATAATAAGAATCAAGCGCGGAACATTGCAATAAACGTTTGTAAAAATAGAAATACGCTGAAACGAAGATAAGGTAAACGCAGTTTAAAATTCCTTGCTTCGAGGTGAAAAGTTTATTCTTAGATAATTTTAATATAAAAGCCACGGTGGTCTAGCGGTTAGAACGCTGGTCTTGTAATCCTGGGGTCTCGGATTCGATTCCCGGCGGTGCCCGAATTTATAACTTGTGTTGGGCAAGGCCGTGGTCTAGGCAACACGGAGTTTTCCTCCGTGGCATCCCAACAATTACTCCATGCACACACAGAAGAAGGCAATGGCAAAAC